ACTGCAGTGCAGTCATCTCTTTCCTGGCTCGCCGTAACCCTGGCATCCTTCCCATTACCCGCCCCCCCCAGGCGGTGGGGGGCCAGGGCACATCCTGAATGTCCCCTCCTTGCGCTGGGTCACCCTGGATGCCCTCCTCCCTGCTCGGGCGCTGCTACCTGGTTCAGCCTGGGACCCAGGTGAGTGGGCAGGCATTACACGCTACCTCTGCAGGTCTCACCGTGTTTCCAAAGTTGTCTGGCTCTGGATTAGATTGGGGTAGGGGTGAAGTGGGGGTCCGGAGGAGCCAGGGTGTAAAGGAGGTGATACGTGATAAGTGGCCATACTGTCAGCTGCAGCCACATGCTTGCCGCCTGCACACTGGTCGTCAGGGCTTTCTTGCAAACCCTCAACGGCCATTTCAGGGGAGAAGTGTCAGGAATGTGGCCTGGGTGGGAAATACCTTGTATATGTGTGTGTTGGTGGGTCTGTGTGTGTGCAATGTGCACCTGGCTCCTTTCTGTTGGGAAGGGCTGTAACTTGGGGGCAGGTGCGTGGCGCCTTTTATTCTTCCTGCGGTTGCGCGTGGCGCCTTAGTCCGGCACAGGGCGAGGGGCAAGGCCTTCTGTGAGTCAGAAAGATGGAAAGGTTTCAATTAGCCGCGCGTTTCTTCTTCTGTGGCTGCTAGCATAACATCCATGTGGCCTGGCTGTGCTGGGCTGCGCCAGGGGGACAGGGCAGAGCAGGGAACGCCACTGGAACAGTGCCACGGGGGCAGAGCAGGCAGTGCCATCCGGGTAGAGCCAGTGCCATCTGGGTAGAGCCATGGGGAGTAGAGCAGGGCACTGCCGTCAGGGCAGATCAGGGCAGTGCCACTGGAGGCAGAGCCTTGGGGAGCCGAGTGAGGCAGTGCCATGGGGGGGGGCAGTGCCATGGGGACAGAGCGGGGCAGTGTTATCAGGGGGCAGTGTCGTGGGGGGCAGAGCAGGGCAGTACCATCGGGGAACAGTGCCATTGCCATGTGCTGTGCTG